TTTCATAGAAATATTTAGAATATCTTTCTTTTCTTTCAAAATTTTTGTTTTATCTTTAAAGTGGAAGTGTCCCTAGAGGGACATAATAAGTCGAAATAAAGAATGAAGAGTAAGAATAATTTAAGAAGAATTGGAAGACAAGCAGCATGGTGCAAGATAGATTCACCTATATCACCGGGGTTACAAGTCTTGTTGCAATCGAAGAAGAGGATTAAAAAGGATAAGCAAAAGGAGTCCGATCCAATTTGAGACCAAAGACTTGGGGCAAAGGAAATGTGAGATTGAATTATCTACTCCAGCTGAAATATTCTCTTTTACCTGGAGCATTTTGGGGTAAGTAGAGATTCCAGTAACTCCTGGCATACATTGGTTTAATCTCATAGCTCCACAACGTCTATTGTTACTACTATTAACAGTATTGGAATATTGAAAATATAGTAATACATTTTAACTACATCATTTCTATTTTATATCAACACACAAAACGCGATATCCCGGCTAGGGATAATTGCATCGATTTACATTTTTAAAAGAAACAGTTATAAACATATTATACAAGAAAAAGTAATCAAAAACTAATAAAAAAGAGAAACAATAATATATATTAGGAACCTGAACCTTTCATGTTAAAAAGATAATCATAAATATATTTACAAATAGTTAAATATTAGATAATAAAAAAGCATATATTGGATTTAATAAAAGATTTATTTGCCAATATTTCGGTTAGCTGAACGCCAAACCTTTATCAAGGCATTATATTTTTGTATACACAAACTCAGCGCCACATAGTGTTCAAGTTTGTGTGTTTAAGTTTGTGTATACAAAAATGTAATGCCTTGATAAAGGTTTGGTGTTCAGCAAACGAAATATTGGCAAATAAATCTTATATTAAATTCAATACAGTAGACTCTCCTATAACGCGATTAATGTGTTCCGTGTTGTATGAAATCGCGTTATAAGAATTCGTGTTGTACGAAATAAAACTTGTATAACGCGAATGTTGTTAGGGTAAATTGTTTTAGTTTATAACGCGTTATACGAAAATTCGCGTTGTATAAATAAATTTGTCTCAATTTTTTTATCGCGTTGTAAAAACTCGTGTTATAGGAGAGTCTACTGTATATACCTTTTTATTATCTAATGAATTAAATATGGATTGCTCTATTTTCAAAACAATAGTTGAATCTATGATAATTCTCTCTAGTATTTACAAATTAATATAGATCAACAACATAATAATAAAAGCTTAAATGTTATGAAGGAATAGTATAAACCTTCAATTTTCGATAGCCATCACCTGGGAACGCGAATCCCACATTTGACCTTTTTTTTTTGTAAAAAAAAAAAAAAAAACAACCTTCAATAGGCTTCTGAATCTTGCAAAAAAAAAAATCAAAACTTCCATCATTGAGTGCAAGTAACCAAAGAGCATACTTTTAAGTTTAAAAGTCAAACTGCTCTCTACATGTATAGCCATGCTGTATACTTACAGTAAAAGCAGCCACTTACTATATGATTATCATGGCATATTTGGTATAAGTAATACCAACACAAAATCATGTTTATAAGACTCAAATTCCAGAAGAAGATAAGCGAATGGCGTTCATCGTTGAAATATCGCACGTTTGCAATAAAACAAACAACAACAGCTTTATTAAGACATTTCCGTCTTGTAAGGACTCGCCATACATCATTTTCATGAAGAAAGAGGAAAAAACATAAACAAAGGAGACAAGGGAAAATAAAAAGAAAATCAAAGTATTCAACATAACTATACAAATTAATTATGGATGGAAATTTTTCTGTAATTTTAGTTCTTAGAGATTACCTTGTTCTCTAACGCTTTATGAAAGTTAAACAATTCTATCGCTATATATTTTTTCCCGGACATTATTCTGATTAGCTGAACTGGGTTTATGTAGACTTGGATAATGTTCTAAAAGATCTTATTCCGTTCCTCGTTAACAATAGTGCATTCAGAGATGTAGTTGGCCATGTCAAGATGTAGTGGTTTGCAATATAACATATTAATCCATGATAAGATTTCTATTATTTAGGTAATTAGACAAATATATTTTTCCTTATCTCCTAATTCAGCATTTTGAATTAGAATCGCTAATAAATTCATTTCGAAACCTTCCATTAACTATTAAACTTCATATATGTATCTTTAATTAAAAAGCATATATTGGGTCAAAATATCATTTATTTTACCAATATTTCAGTTGGCTGAACGCCAACCTTTATCAAGGTATTATAACATTTTGAAGTGCTTTAAAATTTATAATACCTTGATAAAGGTTGGCGTTCAGCCAACTGAAATATTGGTAAAATAAATGATTTTTTGATCCAATATATGCCTTTTTAATTAAATATTTATTTATGGATTGCTCTATTTTCAAAATATATGTATCAATGATTATTTTTAAAAGAATTTGACCAATTATAACGTAAACTTATGTAAATTGAGTTAAAAGACGGATTCATTGAATATATTTACATATAAAAATGATGTACCTTGTTCTCTGTGATAGAAAAACAATTTTTATCAAAATATTTCGAAGGATTGTTCTTTCTTTATCAATATATTACACAATAATCTACAATTCTACAAGAATCTGTAAATTAATTTTAAATTTATTGTACAGTAAATTGATAACATGGAAGTAATCTCTCTCTCCCTCTTCGACCTGCCCACTCTGTGGGAAAGAACTCTCGCAGTCCATCGGTGGTGGAGTCTTTCCCGCGGTGGGCGCCACCAATACAGACCTTGTATTTATTTATATATATATATATATATATGTTATATTAAAATATTATTATATTTAAAAAATTATATTTCATAGATCCAAATACTCTGTTAAATCGACCGCCAGAGTACATTATGTAAATACGTTTTTTTATTCTTACGCCTTAAGCCAGGCAGTACTTTTATCAAACCATGTTTTTTTAATATATTCCTTTAGCGCAATTAAAGCTATTTTTGATAACTAATTTTATTATAATCTCTTCCACGACTGCATACCAAAATCAAGCAAATGACCAATAATTCATCTACAAGTAATTAATCTCAAAACAGCAGAAAATCTTTATTAAATATAATATATATATATATATATTTTTGAAAATAGAGCAATCCATATTTAATTCATTAGATAATAAAAAGGCATATATTGAATTTATATTTAATAAATATTTTATTAAATCCAATATATGCCCAAATATAATAAAAGATACTCCTTCATCAAAACTTTTGATTCGTTATACACTTATACCAATTGTACGGAGTTTACCTGTAGAAAATATGCCTTTTTATTATCTAATATATATATATGTAGTATATTTTGAGTTAGATAGTTCACAACCTTCTTCTAATATTTATTATAACCCCATATCTATATAAAATATGTATCGACCTTGTAACAAAGTGACAAATAAACAAAGAGGTAAAGGTAGTCCAGACGGAGACAAAGACCAGACGACGCAATAACCCAGACGAACAGGTGTTTATGATAATGAGTTCAATCACCCCGTCAACAGGTGGCCAGACGTGATAAACAACCCGGCGCCTGACAGGTGGCGTGATTTTACAGGAACCAATCAGGGCTCTCCGCCATATGCGGGCAGCCAATATAAAAGAGCCCAGAAATGGGACAAAGTTAGTTGTTCAGTTAGTTGTTTCCAGAGCGACGCCGTCATACGGTCGGGTCTCTCACCCCTATCCGCGATGTAGGCATCCGTGACGCCCGTGGTTCGACTGCCTTCGTCCGTGGTCTACCTCTACCTTCTTGGAGTTACCATCTAGACCTGCCTTTGTCTCTTGCTGTCCCAGTGCGGGAATCCCATCACACACCCACGACCACGACTGCCCAATACATTCCACGTCGGGATTACTACGTATATATATATATATATATATATATATATATATATATATATATATATTTATCAATTATTTTCATCTATGTATAGCTATTTATTCATATACTAGCGGATGTGTACCCGGCTTCGCCCGGGTTTTATCCGAGTGAAAGTTTGCCTAACGAATATTATATATTATAAAGTATAATAAACAATGTTAAAGATTAGTTTTAATTATTAATCAAGATTGTGTGTGAATATGTGAGAAAGATGTAATATCGTTGTTGTTTTCTTGGCCGACTGTTTTACATATGGTGTTATCTTAAAATTGCTTGTTTTGAATATTTTTTTAGATTGAGTTGAATGAATTGCTGAATTGTTTTTTGTATTTATATATAAATAAAATTAACTCTGTTGATTATTTTGTATTTAATCGATAACAGCGAAGTTACGCATGTTAAAGTTAGGAAAAATATTTTGATGTTAAGCAAAACCTGCTCCATCTCGTTTTACATAAATGTTGAAAATTTGGTCGAAATTGATGCAATGTAACGAAAGTTTTTAGTGAACAACACTTATGAAATTTCCATTTTATTAATATAGATTTATCATTATATAATCATATTTATTCGTATTTATTCAATTTTGTAATTAACCTTATATAATCTTAAATGTGCATTGTAATAAATCAGTTTCAATCTTTCTCTCTCCTTGAAATATTTTGAGAAATAATTCCTTTCACAGATACAGCTACGTCTTTTTGATATAAATATATTGTAAAGCTAAATACAATTTACTTAACAAAGTTTGCTCATCTTCAAATAAAGAGACCTTTGCGAAAATCCTTTTAAATCCTACCTATGAAAGAAATAACTTACGAAGAAATGAGAAGTAAACTTACTTTTAATCTTAAGACCTCTCTCTCTATAATAAAGGTTTAAACAGCTCTCTTATATAATACAATATAATGCGGCTTATGATTGTAGAACGACATTTGAAAATTATCCCGCATGTGTTTCTTTTGAACGAAAAATCGAAATTTATTTTTAAGGAGAAATAACGATTATTTATAACCTTAGGAATGAAGTATGAAAAGATGAATTGTGAAGAGTAATGATAAACGGAAAAATGAAAGTGTCCAGGGATGGGAATCGAACCCACAGTGTTCCGCTTACTAGGAAGATGCCATGTCCACTAGGCTACCCTGGACATATCTTTCCGTTCGTAATTATTGTATAAAGTAATTTATAATACAATATAATGCGGCTTATGATTGATAAGAAACACATGCGGGATAATTTTCAAATGTCGTTTTACAGCTCTCTTATGTTATACCCCAAATGATAAAGCAGCTTGAACTATGCCTACGAAGGCAAACAGCCTGAAAAATTATATATTTTCTCTTAGAGAAGCAAGAAATCCGACCATACATATATTTGGGGAAAATATCTGTTCGTGCAACAAAACGCTGATGATGGCTTGCGCCCTCTATCGGAATAAATATGAACTAAACGGTGATTTATTTAAATTTTCCTTATAAGGAGCCGGTGTGCGAGTGGTCTAAACTGTTGTTGTTCGATCATTACAAACCGGGATCGAATCCCGCATTCTTGCAAAGTTCCAATTCCAATAACGAGTGTAAGTAACCAAACGGAGCTTTCTAACACAATTGTAAGTGCAGACGTCGAATTGCCTTTCACTTGTGCAGACATGTGGTGCACTTACAGTAAAAGCAGTCATTAAATACTACCCACCATGATTATCATGGCCTGTACCACGTGTACTAGGGATAATAACAACAACAACAAAAAGGCTTTTATTAGGGCCCATTGCCCTGTATGGATTCGCCATACAACAACAAAATAATACAGCAATTTCTCCTTCCTTTCCCCATGTGCACGTGAGCCTTTGTTTGAAAAGGGATTTATTTACACATCTGTTCTAAAACTCTTCTCACTACCTATTTTGTGTATGAATCTATTTACAATTGATCTGTAGAAATTATAGAGTTCTATTGCTATATTTTTCTTTTCTGAAATAGTTCTCAGCGTCCGCAGTGGGTTGCTAAATCTACAGAAGGTGTTTTTAAGAGTTTTTCCTCTTTCTTCACCTAAATATTTGCATTCTATGATTTGTAATAGGGATAATAAAATGCTCCTTATTCCGCGATGGGAAATTGTTGGATTGTGTAGTAAATCGAATCACATTATCAGGTTGAATTCTTCTTAAAAGGTCCCATCGTATGTGCGACTGTAAGTTCATACAATTCCAGTGCTCTACATGGAGATCTGGAAACTAAGCCAAAATAGAGCCATTCATTCTCAATAGTCATCATAGGAGAACCCTAAATTCCTAAAAACAACTATAAATCCTATGTCGATATATTCCAACCTTTTCAAACGCTTTTTAAAAAGAAAATTCAGATAGCTCGTTCTTTAGAAAATAATGTGTCCACCGTATATTTATTTAAACTATTATAAAACAACGAGATGAAATCAAACACCAGTGAAAGGCTTGAAGTTTCAAATTACATTCACCCCCGTCAAAGTTCAGAGAGGTGAATAGTGTGTTTTTGAAGCCAAAATTTTCATATAAACATTTTAGATTTATATCATTTAATTCCTTATAGTGGAAATGGATCGATGAAGGAAGTTCTGGAGAATAGAATGGTAAACGGTTGGAAGAATTGGACTGATGGACTGGATGGGAAGTTTTAAATAAATAAAGAGAAGAACTAAAGATAGAGAAGTATGACGATACTGAAGACCTGGACAAGAACAGAGAAACAAGAATAATTGGACAGATGGACTGGATGAGAAGCTATGAAGAAATAAAGAGAAGAACTCAAGATAGAGAAGTATGGATTTACAGGAGACCTGGACAAGAAAAGAGAAACAAGAATAATTGGATTGATAGACTGGATGAGAAGCTATGAAGAAATAAAGAGAAGAACTCAAGATAGAGAAGTATGGTGTCACTGGAGACCTGAACCTTCTCAAGAACAGAGAAACAAGAATAATTGGACTGGTGACTAGATGGGAAACTGAAAAAATAAAGGAAATAGCTCAAAATAGAGAAATATGGAGCCACCGAAAACCCAGGATCTGCTCAAGATAAAGATTTTCTAAACAAATTTCTATCGAAATAAGGCCAAGATCTTGCCAATGCGCATGTTTACTTAATATATGTAGAAACATGAAGTCCACCCTTAGTATTATTGTAGCGTATGCTGAGGTCAAGTCTGTAACTTGTTATCAAGGTGAGGATGCCAATCAAATTAAGTTAACATTCAGAATACAACTGGCAGAGAACTCAACTCTTAGTTATACCATCTTACAGAATCTCAAACGCTCATGTTTACTTAATATATGTAAAAACCATGAAGTCCACCCTTAGTATTATTGGAGCGTATGCTGAGCTTCATGGAGCGTATGCTGAGGTCAAGTCTGGAACTTGTTATTAAGGGAAGGATGACAATCAAAGTAAGTTAACATTCAGAATTCAACTAGCTGAGAATTCGACTCTTAGATATGCCATCTTACAGAATCTCAAACGCTCATGTTCACTTAATATATGTAAAAAAACATGAAGGTCACCCTTAGTATCATTGAAGCGTATGCTGAGGCCGTGTCTGGAACTTGTTATCAAAGAGAAGATGACAATCAAATCAAGTCAACATTGAAAATATAACTGGCTGAGAACTCGACTCTTATGCTGGTATGCCATCTTACAGAATCTCAAACGCATGCTTACTTAATATATTAAAAATAAAAAAGGCATATCCTGACCAGGAGTACATATACTTTTCAGAAGGCAGAGCGCCATCTAGTGGAACAGAAATCAACTAAACATTGATTTAGTCTGTTCCCTGATATTTGGCCAACCCAATTTATTGATAAATCAAGAAAAGACATCCACAAACGCGTTTCGCGCTGTTGGCGCTCGTCAGCGTGGAGTAAAAAAACTTGAAGTCCATTCTTAGTATTAACTCTATAAATATTTAAGGCATAGTCAATTTAGAAGGATATTATTAACAACAAAAAAATCAGCAGCACAAGATAGGAGTGTCAATAAGTGTCGCCAACCTGGATGACATCAGCTGTTACCACGGGTCGATTGGCTTTTCTTCCCCGCCTTATTTACCATTTTAAATTAATTTAATTTACACACACACCCTCGGTCTCTACATCAAATTAAAATATTTTCCCCTCCACAAAACGCGGGATTTCAAAATTAGATTGGTCGACGGTTGATTTAATTTGCATAGAGAAGGATGGAATTGCTATGTGTAAATAGGGTATGAAAATTTCGGTTTGGGACAGTAGATTTTTTTTTTTATTTTTATTTTAAGATATTGTGTTTGTGTGCTTTTTTAAAATAATTAAATCTTTTAGTAAAATTTGAATATTACATTTGTTAGATATCTCCGTGATCATTAGGATCTTTCTGTAATCCATAACAGTCCATTGGAGGAAGAAATTCCTTCCTTCTTTGATTTGAATCCTTCTTTGTCCTCTGTCTTATTGGACTTCTTTATGACAGATCTCATTGTTCCATCATTTCATAGATCTCCTCCCCTTTTGTTTGTTTCTGAAACCAGTCAAGAATCTCCAGAGTGGAAAACTGTTGTTTTTGATGATTGACAGACTTCTCCTTTAAATGTATTATTTATTATACATACATTACAAATAAGAAAACATAAAAAAAAACAAATACAAAAGATAATAGTGACTATATATTTTTAATCAAGTTTTTGTTCGTCACTTTTTAACAACAACAACTTTTTATATTAGGTTATCATCATATCCAATCTCACAGAATATATATATGTCATAATTTGTATAGTTATTGCCAAGAGATAAAATTATTTTCGTCAAAATAAGTATGTAAATATGTTACGCTTGTGTTAAATTGTAAATATGTAAATTCATCCATGTATAAAGGCGGTACAAAAATTAAAGGTAGCAGACATCGCGGGTGCGCTGTTCGCTTGGCATAACGGGTGCGCCTCTTCATTTAGCTACGACATATATATATTTATTTTTATAAAATTAAATAATATTCCAACATAAACACACATTTCAGGATTTCTTCCTAAATTAAAAATCCAAATTTCTTAATATACAAGAGTCATACAATATGCAAATTAGTAATAAAAAAGACGAATTTCTATAAGCTACTTTAGTATAAATTTGACAAGCTTTCGAGCGTTAACTGTTCTTCACACACACACACACACACACACACAATCCTGATATTTAATAAATATATATATTTCGGGCATTCACAATTTTAATTAAAAAAAAAAAAAAACAGTTCAATTCGTCGATTTACTTCAAGGATTACTTCAACTACGTCGATTTACTTCATTCACTTCATCTATAAAAGCTATAGCGGAGTATAGCTTGGCAGGTTCAGAAGATGGCGGATGGTATTATTATACAGTTAAGTTTAAAATAATATACTCGAAACTTTTGAATCTTTAACATTTCAGGCTTTTGGATTTTTTTAAGGAAAATCTTTTTATAATACAATATAATGCGGCTTATGATTGTAAAACGGCATTTGAAATTTATCCCGCATGTGTTTCTTTTGAACGAAAAATCGAAATTTATTTCTGAGGAGAAATAGCGATTATTTCTAACCTCAGGGATGAAGTTTGAAAGATGAATTGTGAAGAGTAATGATAAACGGAAAAATAAAAGTGTCCAGGGATGGGAAACGAACCTACAGTGTTCCGCTTACCGGTCAATTCATCTTTTCATACTTCATCCTTGAGGTTAGAAATAATCGCTATTTCTCCTCAAAAAATAAATTTCGATTTTTCGTTCAAAAGAAACACATGCGGGATAAATGTCAAATGCCGTTTTGAAAATCTTTTTAATAATGTTTTCTTATATGATGATGATATTTGAGACGTTATATCCAAATTGTCTAAGATCCGGCGGAATATAGAATAATATATATGCCTTGTTTTTGTATTATAATAATTATTACTATTATATATTGTGTGGCGATGAAATAATTTATTATTTAATTTAATTATTTAATGAAAATATTCAACAGATTATATAAATATATATTACTCTGTTTATGTAAAATAATGATCAAAATATCTCTTTGCTTGCTTGTTCAAGATTCTCTAGATGTAGATAGTTGGGGCTGATTTGTTAATAATTGTCGACTTGTCGCCGTGACGTCATCAATAA